CTAGCAGCTCGGCAGCTGGGCAGCTCGATGCTTATTAACTATTTGATTTATGCCTGGCCTCAACTAATTGCCAAACGTTCAGGTGTCTCTGATGGATATGGATGCGTTTTGTAAAAGGCAACTGATTTGATCTCCAACTTCTTCAATGTATTTCAGCAAATATGCGCATTAAGCAAGCATGTTTTTTTTATTTTTTATTTTTAGTAATTGTTAAAAAATATCAGCTAAATTAAATTTCCATTTCCATTAAGGCCCTAACTCGATCTGTATTTGTGCATTAAGACACTTATTTAATTTTAAACTCTATAATTTCAGATTTTGTTCTTATCATAAAATAATTTATCCGTATCTTATTGAAATTCATTTACTTCTCTAATGACATTATATATTTTTTAAGTTACGACTACTTTACTTTTTGCCTTACGAGTCTCAAACTGGCACCTTAATCTTCAATTATCACAGTATTCCCGCAGGATTCTGCTACTTAATCTTCCCTCTTTAGCCAACCGCAGGATAATCCTCGGCAATTATTGGCGTCATTGATTATTCTTTTTTGTTAGGGGTATTCTATTCTCTATAGACCCTTTTGTTTATTCCTACGTGCACGACAGACTAGGGATTGCGCAACTTCTTTCGTTTTATTGTCCAATGATTATAAAAGATTCTACCACGTATTCTCCATAGAACTCCATTTACACATTTCTGGATATCTTCGGTAACTCACTGAACATTTCCAACTATGAGTGGAAAATAGTTTACCGGACAGGCCATAAAATATTCCTCACCGGGTCGGTGATTTCCCATCAATATATCTATACCTTATTATTTTAGCCTATTTTAAATTTCTTTAATTTCTTATACCCGATTTTCTGCCTCTTTTCTAATTTATTGACATTCTAAAATAATATAGTTACTTAATAGTATTTCAATTCTTATGTAGGAAATCTGTTTTCACTACAAACACAATTCTTCTGAGCTGTGGACTTTAAAAACGTCGCAGCCAAATTATTGCCACTTGTTTTGTCAAGCATTAATAAATAATAAATAAGTGAACAAATTAAAATTGTTTTTCAATAGATTTGCTTAAACGCAAACATTAGCTTTTGTATTGGAACTTATTAGGGGCTTTTGAGACTTGGACTAACTATCTAAATATTTCTTTGTTTTCTCATTGAATAAATTTTAATTCAAATTAAATTTTTTTAAATTTTTCAGACTGTGTTTATATTTGAATAAATCATAACTTTCGTTTCTCATTGAACTTTATCTATTTAAATTCACTTTGAAACTTAGCTTAAAGTTTCTATAAAAATAAAAATATTTTTTTTTTGAAGATATCCTTAAACGCAAACATAAACTTTTTGGATTGTTCTCTCTAACATTTTCTAGCAGTCTTTGAGACTTGGATTAAGTGTGTTAATATTTATTTGTTTCGCATGGCCCATATAGTACGTATCGTATATCTGGCTTAAGTAATCGCACAGTTGGGCGTCGTTTAATCTGCAGCTCAGTTTGTTGGCTGTGCCACAAATTTTTGGCATTGCCGCAAAGGCAATTGCTTCGGACGGCGGCGGCAACTCACCTTAGAGGTTGACAAAATCGTGTTGCCAGAGTTCCGCATTGAATTGCTGTAAAAATTGGTCGGCGGGCAGCCAAACTATGCAGCCACCGGTTCGCAATGCGCATCTTCACATCTTCGCATCTGAAAACCAAATCCTTGGCTGGACAAATGTGCAAAAACATTTTAATGAATTAAAACGATCAAACGGCAAATGCGACACATATATTTATTTCTTTTCAACAACTTCTTAAAAGTGATTAAACGAATGAGACAGCAGTAATTGCAGCTACTTCTTCATCCATATGTAGAGAAGCGCTTATACTGAATGGATAAGAGTTCAATTCAGAGCGTGGTCTTATATTTTCACACACAGATTTAGTTTAACTCTTAACAATACTTATTTTAAATATCGCCCCTCTTTGCGATTCTCATGATTTCACGTACAATTTGACCGCTTCAGTGGTTTGATTTTTTTATCCTATCGCTATATATAAAACTGTTTGTCCTAACAGAATGACTGTCAGAAGATCAAGGCACAGCAGATTTAGTGTAACTTCTTTGCCCTTCTCATGAATTCAAGAACGACCCCTCCCAAATATATCTATCTATATATAAAACTAGTTGTACTTACTATCTGACAGATTATTGATCAAAGTATCTTTTGTGCTGGATGTGCACATTAAAAAAATTTGGAAAGGCGTTTTTCAAATTCATTTGATGTATCTTTCATTTTCGGAAAATCTATGCCTCCTTGTCAAAAATATGAGTCCAAACATTTGTGGGTGACTTTTTACGTTCAAATGATGTTTTTTGGACAAGTTTTAAGTTTTGTGTTTTAAATTTCTAAGCTTTACGTAAGAACATGAGGATTATGTGATTCAGGGAATTCAAAAAAGGGGCTTTATCCACGTTTTTGTTGCCATCTGATCGCCTTCAAACTTATTTTCAAAGACCTTTGCGAGATTTTATGTGGTACGATTTTCGGAAAGTTTACCGCTCCTGGATGAAAACTGTGGGTCAAAAGTTTAGTGAACGAAAGCTTGTAATTTAAGAAAGTATGGGTGGACTTTAATTATCTACGGAAACCGAGGGAAAGGCATTTATCTAGAAATGTAAGAAAAAACCATGCCATGGCCATGTAAACTTGAAGCGTAAATCTTCAAGTTTGCCATCTTCTTTTTTTCTTGGTATGGATAAAGCTAGCAATGACACTGATTCTGCTAACCTCTTTGCTAATTTTTTCCAATCAACTTACTCTTCATTCTGTTCTAATACTAATTCTTACCCTTATACTATTTCTTCCGCTAGTTACATACCTCCCTCCATTATTTCACACTCCTCTCTCCTATTAGCTATAAACTCTTTAAAATCTTCTTACTCTCCTGGGCCGGACAATATTCCTAGTTGTCTACTCAAGGAGTATAGTTCTTCCCTTTTTTATCCATTGCTAAAGCTTTTTAATCTATCCCTTGAAACTTCTGTCTTTCCATCTCTTTGGAAAGAATCTTATATCATTCCTCTTCACAAGAAAGGTGGGAAGTCTGATATACAAAATTACAGGGGCATTGCAAAACTTTCTGCTATTCCTAAATTATTTGAAAAAATAATCACTTCGATTGCAAATCAGTTGTTTCCCCTGTTCAACATGGATTCGTAAAGAATCGGTCAACTACGACCAAACTGCTTGAGTTTACTTCCTTGATAAATTATGCTTTCTTTTCGAAAATGCAAACTGATGTCATTTACACTGACTTCATTAAGGGGTTTGACTCTGTGCACCATGACATTTTACTTTTTTTAAAAGGTAGGACCCAAAGAGTAATGCTGAGGCTGACTACCTCTAAACGGGTTCACGTTACTTCTGGTGTTCCTCAAGGTAGTCATCTTGGACCTTTACTCTTTACTCTTTTTATAAATGATCTCCCCTTTGTTATATCCCATTCCTGTGTACTCATGTATGCGGAGGATATAAAACTTATCCTATCACACACTAATCCCCTACATCATTCTCGTCTACAAGACGATTTGAACGCTATGCAACTTTGGTGTTCGGCCAATCAATTGCATCTAAATTGTTTAAAGTGTATGTGAATGACTTTTAATCGTACTACACCTTATTTTGTCAGTTATACAATCGACAATATCCCTTTGCAACGTATACTAACAGTTAAGGATCTAGGCGTTATTTTCGATTCTAAGCTCTGTGTCTTCACATAGATACCATTGTTAATGAGGCAAAAGGTGTACTTGGATTCATTAAACGATGGTCTTAAGAGTTTTACGATCCTTTTATAACAAAACTTCTGTACATCTCTCTTGTTCGCCCTATCCTTGAATACTGCTCTTGCATCTGGTCTCCACAGTTTAACAATAGCCAGGATCGTATTGAATCTGTTCAGAAGCAATTTCTGCTTTTTTGCCTTACGAGGTTTAAATTGGGACCCTAATCTTCGGTGGCGTCCTACTCCAGCAGACTGCTTCTTCTCAACTTTCCGTCGTTAACCAACCGTAGGACAATTCTCGGTGTTGTCCTTCTACATAAGTTGATTATTGGCGACATAGATTCTCCTTTTCTGCTAGGGCATCTTCAATTCCCTGTTCCGGCTAGACCAACCAGAAATTATTGCCCCTTATTACTATTTACGTGCACAACAGATTACGCTATGCACAATTCTTTTCGCGTGCTATGTAAAAATTATAATAGTTTGCATCACGCTTTCTCTACCGAACTGTCTCTACCTCTAATAAAATCGTTGGTTTCAGGATACCTTCGGGAAGTCGCTGACCATTCCCAGCTATGAGCAGGTGCATAGCTAGCCGGACAGGCTGAAAAATTTTCCCCCACCGTGTCGGTGATTTCCCATTACTTTTCTCCTTGTCCTATCTACTTAACACTCTTTATCTAACTTACATTGCTTTACTTAACTTTACTTTACTTAGCTTTATTAACAATCTTCTTACTTTCTTTTTTCCTATCTATTGTATTTTCTTTATTAATATAGCAAATTAAGATTATTTTTAATTTTACTTGAGATCACTTTTTTTCTACTTACAACTTTCTGCTTAGATGTAGGCTCTAATAGCGTCACTGACAAAATTAGTTGTGAAAAGGGGCACAGCTGGCCGGACTGGCAAATAAAACAGCTCCATCGGTCGGTGATGCTATTTAGAAAATTGTATCCTTTAACTAGGCTTTTAGCATATAATAATTCTATTGTACAATCTTTTGCATAATGAGGAAGACACTCGTTTTGTCGACCATTAATAAATAAATAAATAAATAAAAGACCGGGGAATATCTGCTAGTATAATATATCCCTATTAAATTCCTCTTCCTCCTCCTCTTTTTAACTTCTTGCGGCAACATTTGTTTAATTTAAGTAACAGGATTTAAACTAACTAGTTAGGCAAACATGTGATTGATTAGTGGCCCATTCGCTTAATGTGTCGATTATTTAGAATTTATTCAATTGCTAATAAGGCAATCTGTGAAGCAATCGAATGTCAATACACGCACATAAAGCGCCAGATTGGATGGCACAAAATACGGCCATTTATTACTCCTAATATGCAGCCGAAGTCCGACTAATCCCCCACAGCAGATAAAATATTTGGTGCCATTCGATGGCCGCAACATGAACAAAGCCACGTCGTAAACTGCGCAACCTGGCTCCGATCTCATGGCATGCCGAATACTGGATACCGAATACCGAATGCCGTCTGCCGAATGGAGATGCGTACATTTAGTCCGTTCCGGTTTTGGGTAGTAGCACTTTTTTTTTGTTGTATTCTGTTTTTCATATGCCTAGTGCGAAGAGCAATGCAAGGGATTCAAAAAATTCCCAGGCGTATGGTACGAGTGCGCGTTGCCGTCGAGATGCCCATCTAATAAATTCAACTAATTAATGGCGAGTATGAGAGCAGCAGATTGACTCTGTGCGCCACGTCTGCTGCGCCGGTGTCGGTGCCAGGCTGCACATTAGCAAAAATCTACATGATATTGAGATGCCGATGCCGATGCCGATGCCGATGGAGCCGGAGCCGGAGCAAAGTTGATCTGGTCTGGTTGGCTCTGTGCCGAGCATCGCCGCCTGTTTGGCTGCTCAATACCAGCTGAATTCCTGGCCATGAAGAGATCTGCTCATTACGGTGTCGGGAGCGTGTGGCGGTGACGTCCTTAGATACAGATTTCTTATCATTAATTAAACTTAAGCATGTTAGCTACCGTGTTCACAGATATCAGGCGCACTTGGCTCAGTCTCTTCTTCCGCTGGGCTCGACTCGGCCCGCGAGGCCCAGTCGATTGATCTTGTCCAGCTCTGCTGCGGCGGCACACGCCTTATCGCAGACATGCAATCGCCAGCGCCTGGTATTCCCCCTCACAGTCCAGCTGGCAGCCCGGCGAGGGTGCAGATGGAAAACCTTCACGAGCGACTTTATTTGTGGTCGCCATTCGAGCAACTCGAATGAGTTGGTCGAATATTTGGACACTTTATTTTAAATACTTGTTTCGAGGTCGCCAAAAACTAATTGCCGGCTGTTTTGCATTGCTATATCAAGTGGGTTAAGGGCTAGCCTTTAAGGAATCAAGATATATACATATACTTTCGGCTGTCAAGCCAGCTAAGCCTCTCGCTCTTTTCCTCTTCCTCTCTCTATCTCACTCTCTCCATATCTTTGTCTAACGACTCTGTGAAAGACTTTAAGAGCTGGACGATTTAAATTTAAGGTGGATACTTCATATATCATTTAAAGATACAGTTGTGCTTTACTTTCGGGAACTTTACTCAATACCCAAAAATCGATAGCTATCAATAAATATCAGTCGCATATCCTTAATTTCCTCCCAGGCTTCTTGTCTTACTCTCCTACAATAAAGTTCTTATTAAATATTTTCAGTGCTTAATTTGTGTGGGGAAAATATAAAATATATTTCTGATCTATGTCATACTTTAGTTATGTTTTATCTGATTTTTGGCAAATAGCTGGAAGAACGGAAAACTACGGAAATTTACTTTAAAGAAACAACAAGCCCACTCGCTAGGGCTCAAAATAATCGTGTGTCAAATGAAATTGAGGAAAGAAATGAAAGTCTAGGATTTATATGTGTCCGACATAAATGGCGAGATTTGATGTCCAAAAATTGCTGCCTCCGGCACTCGCAGCTCTGCCTGCCGTTGTCAACAATGTAATTTATCAGGCAAGCGACATAATTACCTGCCACTTATGGCAATAAAAAAGTGTCCGGGCCATGGGCAGCTAAAACCGGGACTGCGACTGCGACTGCGACTGGATCTGGCTTTGGCACAGGGCAGGAGGCGCATTCAAATGCTGTCCACAGCAGCGGCAGCGGCAGCGGCAGCGTCGGCCGTGTTGCTAACAGCTGAAGGATTTATGTTCTTACAAAACGCTCCAAGGCGCCAAACAAGTGAGCCAAAGACGACGGCGACCGACCGACGAACCGATAGATTGATCGTCCGTCGTCCGTCGTCTGTCGTCGTGGTCGTTGTCGGGCGGTGTCCGGCACTGAGGCTGGCAATGGGGCGTATGTGCAATGAAAATTCCCGCCACCGTTTAGCGCCTGCCTCGAGAGTTGCAACTGCAACCGCAACTGATTCCCACACCAGCTGCGGCAGCTCCGCTTTGATCTGTGTGTGATACGGAGCTGTGAAGTGCTTGCAAATCTTCAGCAGGAGCTTCGTGTCGTTGTTGCTGCCGCTGCAGCTGGAAGCGTTGACAAGTCACATGAGCATTGTGCGAGGTTGCATGCAACATTGCCCCAACATTGCGGCTATTGTTTGTGATGCATTCAAGCAGAGATCGGTTTGCCAATTGAGGGCCTGCAGAAAGTGTAAAGCGAGATTAATTAAATAAGCATACGTTGCAGTTCTTACTTTTATTAATAATTGAAAATTGAGAAAGAATACTTCAGCTCAACACAAAATTTTGAATTCCGTTTCGTTTGCTCAGTAAATCGTTAGGGCAATGACAATAAAGTGAAAAGCCAGAGCATTATTCATCTTAGTCTTTATATTGTCTTTGACTAGGATATGCCACATAAAGAATGCAAATGAGCTGCAAATATCTTTTATGCATTTCAATATTTTATTGAGTATGCGCTCTCTCTAATAATATTCATGGACTATATTTGACTTTGACCCCGCTGTTGCACTGAAACCCACCTGTTGTGGCTATCATTTGCCGTTAGATAATGCTCTGGCTGACTTCCTAATGCAACACGAAACACACACACACACACACACACACACAAACGAGGCAGCCAGACAAATTCATATTTTATTGGCTCTGACCATGCCCGGCGAGGCAACAACATTAACAAACAATGCGCCAACAGCAGCAACAACTGTTGCAACAACAACAACAACAACAATGGCAACAACAATGGCAACAACAACTGCAACAGATCAATGCAAAGCAAATATTTTCACTCTATGCTTGTTTTGGGGCTGTCTGTTGCCTAATCTGAATTCAGCTTCTGGTTGTTTTGGCCATTGTATTAGCTGCTGTTGTTGTTGTTGTTGTTGCTTTTTCGGCCAAATAGCATTTTGAACATAATTTTCATATGTCGGCCTGGCAGTTATAATCACGTTCACAGCTCGTTAGCCGAATCGCAGGCCACAACCCACCTGTAGCTGCCTGCCTGCTGCATGTTGCCTGTTGCCTGCTGGCTGCTTGGCCATAATTGTCCGGGCCACATATCGTACATAAGAGGGGCCATCACCATCACCATATTGACCATTAGACGAGTGCGTTTGCATTTGTGCATCTTCATCGATTTCACCACTTGCCGCGCCGCGCATAATTGGCCGGGCCGGGTCAACAGAGCCGCCGGCAACAGGCAGCGGGCAACTTGCCACTTGCCACTTGCGGCAGAGGCAGCAACACGATTTTATTTTGTTTTTGACTTTTTTTTGTGTTTTGCTTTTGCTGATGATTACCGATATTGCCAGGCAGTGAAAAATGCGTCGGCTGCGTGGAAAACTTTGCAGCAGCGGCACATTTTCCAGCCAAAACAGAAAAAAAAAACAAAAATTAAATCTGGTGGCTGCTGCTGAAAATAGGCATTTGCCGGCGAAGAGACTTGGGAAGCGCTCGCCAGGAATGCCCATTCGTATAGCGAAGTATTCGCGCGCACCCGCGTGCTATGCAGCTCAAAAATGGAAGCGGGTTGGCACCCGCAGCTGACACTGTATAACAGAACATGGGCCGAGATATTATTGCAGTCTAAATTGTTTGTAAACAGATTTCTAATAGCTACTATCGTCTGCACGATAGTCTCACAATAAAACTGGTTGATTATCTCACTGACTAACAAACTGATTGACTGTGTCAAATAAAACTGACTGACAAAATGAGAATATGATTAATATACTTCATCTTATTTGCAAAGAAAAACAAAACAATTTAGCCTGAAAATTTCAGGTAATGTCGTTTAGTAAGTCATAATGTGCAGACAAATCGATTTTATCGTATTGAATTTATACCACATAATTCTTTACACATTTAACACCAATTGCAATTTTAATGGCTCATCATAGTTCAAATTAGGCGCCAAATTGTGTCAGCTGTAAGCGTACAGCATTGCCAGCTATGCAATCGGTGTGGCATCACTATATGCCACTATAAACGAGTAGTGTGGCAGCACTGCTCTCGGCTGTTACTAAATAACAGATGACTGTTAACTTGACTGTTAATCGTGTTAGTGCCGGCCAAGCAATAGCAATAGCAACACCCATACTAATATACTACTCCACCACCAATAATAATGACGCCAACGCCGACGCTGGCAGTGAAAGCTTTTGCCAAGCGCCGCTTGGTGCTGGCTGTTTCAGCATTGCAACTTCGGCCTCAGTCGCTGTTCATTTCCTAACGGTAACGGGTTTGCTGCGCGCTGTCGTAGACAAAGCTTGCGCCGTTGTCGCCGCCGTAGCTTTTTGCTACACAAACAATAATAATAAAAAAAAGCGCTAGACAAAATAATAATAGTTGCTAATTGGCTGCCATTGTCAGTGTAGCTACTGGTGCTCTGTCCGTGTTCATTAAATAACATTAAACTGGTATTTAAAAATTGCCGAAATTGCGAACAGTGTAATAAAATAAAAATAAATTTACATTGAAAATCCTTAGTACATACACACACACTGACATGTCGCGTGCTGTAATTGTGTGCGTGAGTGTATAGAAATGCTTCAGTGCAGCCAGTTTTAGCGCATGCGCCATTGTACCCCACAGTTGCTGCCAAGTTTTGCATTAATTGTTTTTCGTCGAGCCAAAAAGCATTTAAAATTACAAACACTCAGCGCTGATAAGGTATGTAAGGGGGCGGGCCATGATTTGTTTATTAATTTACAAGCATTTTTAGGCTAAGCTTTGCCCAAGCGCAACGATGTCGGCTGCGCCGATGTCATCGGCGTCGTTTGTTTGACTTGCCTTCCCCTCGCTTCTCTATCAGCCACCCACAGCCATACAACCAGTTAAACCAGCCGCACTTGTACCCGCCCGCCCGCTCATCTACCATGCTCCACCTACACCCGCACATTTACTACGCGCGCTTTGCCGAAAAGCTTTTGCCAGTTGTGCTCTGCAGCGTCGTCTGCTATTAGCGTAAGCTTTTTCTTTCATTCAAGTTGTTGGAGCGTCGTCGTCGACGTCGTCGCCGACGTTGACGTCGTGGTCGTTATGTTGCGTGAAAGTTAATTCCGTTTACTATCGGCATTCATCAACATCATCAGCGGCGTTTGCGTTGGCGTTGGCGTTGCCACTTTGCCATCATACCCCTGGCACTACCCCTGCCACCTGTCAAGGCACTGTCCTTCGCCTAGCGTCTTTCTCGCCGGCTTTAGCATTAAGCATTTAAGTCATAATTGACATGCATTTGACGATATGTGTTGACAGATAACTGTAATTTCTCTTCTCTTTGCTGTGGATTCTGTGAACGCTAAGAACTTGCCACGATGATTCATTTAATGATTCTAAGGCTTAAGTCCATAATAAAAGCTCAGCAATAGCTGTTGAAACGGGAAAATGAGACCATAAAGAATCAATTTAGATAAATATAGCTAAAGGACACTCGCACAGTTAACTACGAGATGTTTGCTTTTAAAGTGATTAAATATTTCTATTCGAAATGATTAAATAACAAATTAGTTTCTTGTATCCACAGTATTTAATTCTCGTCTTCTCTGTAATCTGCCAGTATGAAAACACATTCTTTCTGAAACTTAACTAAAACCATTTACAATTCTAAGGTCACTTTTAAATTCAACGTGTAAATTACATTTGAAAAGACATAATCCGCTTTTTGGCTTAACATTTTCAGCGAGACAAAATCCCAAATTGCGCCCAACTAAATCAGAGCGTTGTGCAATTACTAGCATTAGGGAACGGGAACGGGAACGGGAAAGGGAACGGGAACGGGGAAGGGATCGAGAACGAGAACATTGTGCTCATTCGCATCATTCAGTTAGCTCAGCTTCTTGCCACCGCCCCCACCCCCCGTCTGGGTTCGTACACCTTTTGTTAACATGCCTTTCAGCAGCTCAACGAAGCTGAGAGCTGAGTGGAGCGTAGCAAGAAAGATATTGCACTTAAATTGCACTTAATGAAGCTGCATCATCACATTTTGCATTTCAACCGCCTAGACCCTCCCCGCTCCCTGCAACCTGCTCCAACCGCCCCCCACTCTGCTGCTTGTCGGCCCCCCATTCGCAGTGTGTACGTGAGCAGCTTCTTGACTTTTGTGGAACAATGGCAGCCACTTGCATTCAACAGACAAATGAGTGGAAATTATGCCAAGACACTGGCAATTAATAAGTGGAAAAGGCGACGCAGTTCTTGCTGCCAACTGCCTCCAAAAGATTACAGACACCCAGGCCCAGGTCGAGGCCCAATCCCACAGCCGCACAGCCGCCGCTTGTCTCATTTGCCTCATTTGGCACATTCGGCTGATTTGCATTCTCGCTTTGCCAGCCAGCGGCAATACATAATAATCCCAACATCAGGTACAATCAGCAGTTGGTAATTGTTATGGGCCAGGTCTCCATTGTTGTGTGTGCCATGCCAGAGTCCAACAAATATACATAAACAAGCACGCAAGTTGGACGCTGGAATTGGGCACACAAACAAACAAACACACACACACACACACACAGGCACACACGACAATCAATATAAACGCATTTTCATAATTAATCAATGCTGAATAATTTGTCAGGCTGGCTCAGGTCAGGTCGCCATAGGTTGACATGGCCAGGAGGCGCTGCGGAGAAATCTGTGTTTGCGTGTCTGCGTGTGTGTCTGTCTCTAAGGTTTGTTTTTGGCTTTTATCAGTCGCAGTGGCAGCTTTGTGGTTACCCACGTGACATATCAATACGAAAACACACGAGCGGATTGAAAAGTGGGCGGACCTGGGCATTAACAACCGGAACAACAGCAACAACAACAACCTGGCTTAAGCTTTGTTTGCAATAACAAAGCTTAAGCCGAATTTTCTTTGGCGTTTGTCAATATTCATTGTGTTTAAGATTTACAAAATCAGATACGTTTTCCAATCAAATTTGTGCTCGTGCATTAAATAAAACAAGTCGGGAGCTCCCGACTAGGGAATACCCTAAAACCCAGTCTTCCAACATCAAATGTATATATATATTCTATTTTGGAAGCTATATGTCAAGTTTGGTGACTCCAGCTCTTATTATTTACCAAAATTGCCCAAAAAACGGGATATCAATATCGATTTTTATCGATTGCTTGAAAACGGAGTAAGTTATCGATTATCGGAAGCAAACTCGATCTGCGCAGGCACTAGGAGCACCTACATCTTCAAGTCTCTAGCTCTTATAGGTTCTGAGATCCTTGCGTTCATACATACGGACAGACGGACTGACAGACAGACATGGCTAGATCGACTTATGGGGTCGGAGATGCTTCCTTTTGCCTGTTACATACATTTGGTTTTTGCACAAATACAACATACCCTCATACCCATTTTTAATGGGTTCAGGGTATAAAATGTATGTATATCTCTAACTGCAGACTAAAAGAAAAATTTATATTTATAAATTTATAGGAAACCTTTAAGATAAAGTCTCTAGCAAAGCGTTCATAACCTCAAATGTTTATATTTACCTTGTCTAAACAGGACTTTGCTCCTATTTGACTTGCTCGCAACAAGAACAGGAAATACAACAACTAAATGACTGAGCTAAATTATCCCAAAGGCCACAGTCTCCCCTTCCTGGCCTTCCCGTTGCTGCGGGCGTGTCTGTGTGTAAGTGTGTGTGTGTGTGTATCAAATTCTGCGAATTATGTGTATTTAAAGATCATTAGTGTGCAATTTATACCTATATGCAGTACATTATGTAGATATTCTTATATATTATACGTATATCGATTTCCACCAGTTGCCCACATCGAGGGCAACGCCAAACGCGGCATTGTTAAGAATGATTAAGAGGCACACCGCACGGATTGGCTACGTGGGCGTCGGCAGGGCCTACGTGGTGGACAAAAAGTGCTTGGAGTCGCACTCGAACTCCCACTGCGGGTTGGTGCGTGGTGGCAAGTGGCAAGTGGCTGGTGGTGTCAAGGCCAAGCGTTAGCGTCAGGTCATGTGGGAGTATGTGTGTGTGTGTGTGTGTGCGTGTGCTTGTAATTATTGATAACGGGGCTCTGCTAATAATATATACAAAATAAGCGACTAAAGAACATATTATTTCTGAAAAAAATCTCCAAAATTATAGTCAGCTGAATGCCGTTTGTGAGTCTTTTAGAATATTTAAATTATATAAATGACTGAAATATTTATATATATGTGTCCGCCCGTCAGTCTGCATGCGTATTGTAACCTATAAGAGCTAGAGATCGCGCAGTACAAGTGTTTTCGATAATCGATAACTTTCCGCTTCCTTAGCAATCGATATAATTCGATATCTTGGTTTTTGAGCCAATTTCATATGTTTTTAAGGCTACAGTCACCAAATTTAGCATGTAAGTAGCTTCCAGAATAGCATTTACAGATGAAGTATTTTTAATTTATCATCATTTACAGCTACCCGCTGCTAAGAGCTAGGTCGATCGATCAAGCAAGAATTCAAAAATGTATTATTTTAAAACTGAACTGCTTATTATTTAATTTGGTTTATTTTGCGCTGGAATCGATCAGTGCCTTCTGATCTCTACCAAGCGGAGTTAAGGGTATGGTGTATAGTTATTATTTAATAACTTAAATGATAATTACAGACTTAAAAATATATAACAATAATGGGAAAGGGATGTTTAAGTGATGTGCCTCGTTGGTAGGTCGTCGGGGTGTAGCCTTCGGAGGCGCCTCTCACTGATGGGCTCAGCCAGGGCCCTTGCGGCCGCGTTCGGATGCTGCACCAATTTGTCGGAGTATCGGCTGCTGAAGAAGTTGAGCTGATCTCCGACCTTTGTTAGGCGGAGATCGCGTTCGATGGCGTCTGTTGTTACGTACCATGGCAGGCCAGCAACCTTGCGTGCTGCCTTGGCTTGGACCACTCTTATGCGACGGAGCTGGTGTGCTGATGCCGTGCCCCAAACTTGGATCGCGTATGTCCAGATAGGCGTTACCATCGTTTTGATAAGCAGTGTCTTCGTGGATATGTGCAGCTTGCTTTGAGGCTTTAGTAGCCAATCGAGCTTTTGAAGTCTTCTCAGGCATTTTGCTCTCGTTGCTGCGATGTGAGGCCCCCATATGAGCCTTCGATCCAGGTGGACACCCAAGTAGCAGAAAGAGTTGGTCTGCTCAATGGTTCCTCCATCGAACCGTAGCCCCTGGCAGCTGTATGGGCGCAGCGTAAAAGTGACGCAGGCGGACTTGGCACAGTTTATAGCGATGTTCCACATAGCTGTCCAGGTTTCGATCTGCAGCAGCCAGTCCTGCACTGCACTTGTAGCAGCTTGCAGATTTTTGTGGGAGGCTAGGAAGGCAGTGTCGTCCGCATATGTTGCCACCAGCAGTCTCGCAGGGCTGAGGTCTTCGTTGCTTTGTCCTTGTGTGGGCAGGTCCGCCGTATACAGCGTGTACAGCATCGGACCGAGGACGCTGCCTTGTGGGACACCTGCTCTGATGCCCTTAATTGCCGACCTTTGGTCTTTAACGGCCACATTAAAGGTGCGTCCTGCCAGAAAGGAGCTAAGGATGCTGAAGTATGGCGCTGGGAGTATCAGTTTGATCTTGAACAGAAGACCATCGTGCCAGACCTTGTCAAACGCTTGTTTGACATCGAGGAAAACGCCGACGCAGTATTGCTTCTGCTCAAAAGCTTCTAGTACGTGTTTTACTGCCC